CTTGTATGGTTGTCTGTTGATACTAAAGGAGGAAAAGATATTATGGGATAACCGAACACGGGTGGTTGATGTATGTTGCTGCATGGGTCTTTGATAAGGAAAAGGACGACATATCAACAGAGCTAGTGATTAGATTTATTGAAAATAATGTCGATTTGAAGTGATTTCTTCTTTGTTAACCCGGCTAAAACGTCAAAAAAACCAGTCTCATATAGTCTGCATAAGGATATTATTTCTTCATAGTTAATTCTAAAAATTAATACTAATTTAAAATTTTGACATTGCTTCGACCTATTTAATACTCTAATTTTATATGCAATATTCAACCAAGTGATATATGGGCTGCAATTTTAAAGTTATCATTTGTTTATAATATACATTGAAATACAAATTAAGTATTAAAATACAATTAAAATAATAATAAAAATATGAAAGTCGAAGTATCAAATCACCAAATAAGTACTTATGAGAGATTTAGTTGCTATCTAACCGCTGAAAAGGTCTTCTGATTTTTGAGATTTTAGGTTTGTGTATGTTTTTCTTTTAAAAAATACAACAAATTTATTTAGTGTTATTGGCTGTAGCCCTTCCCTCTCTTAAAATTGGTCATGGTTCAACTCCCCATATGTATATATTTTTTTGAAATAAGTAGTTGTGAAGACAAAAAGCTACTTCCTACTTTCACTCTCGATGCAGGAAATTTAAAATGGAGGAATGGGTTTTGGCTTTCACCTTTAATAATACTAGCACAGCGCCCGGCCCGTTGGCCGGAAGAATTTTATCGAGGAATATGTTATATGATAATGGATATAGTAGATGATTTGAAATGCATGAAATTATTGTTTTCTACCTTAGTTATGCCCATAACATTTTTGAAAAGTGATCCAATTATGCATAATGTGTTTAGACCTCCATAAAAAGAGAAAAGAATATAATAAGCATTACATATAATTATTGAAGGAAAAAAATATATATAAATACTTGTCATTCATTACTTAATTAAACCAAGTTGAATATTAGAGTTGTTTCTCATAATACATACATAATCAACCTTTAGAATGAAAGAAAATGTATCATAGAGTTTAGTATGTCCTTTAAGGTTTTTTTCCAATAGAGAGCATTCTTTTTTACCACACTGTTGGTAATGAATCTGAAGTTGCTTGATTTGAAATATATCGGACATGATGCGGCTAAGCTATATCTAATAGTTAGTTTGACAATGTGTTGTGTACCAACTTCCCAAATTATTCTCATATCGCAGACATGTCTAACAACAATGTAGTACTTTTCATGAAACAAATATTTTTTTCATGAAATAATTCAATCAATAAAAAAGTATGAAAATATATTACATGAAATATATGTTACTCATTAAGTTGATGAATGAGCGAGGATATGAGTAACATACATTTATTTTGAAACGATATAATTTTCAAAATATCTTTTGGGTTGCATGAAATCGCATATTCTCATTATCTCTAACTGACTTATGTTTTTTAGCAATAGATAATTCAAAATGTGTCTTAAAATTTTTATTTCCATCAGTGTAAAAGAATTGTTTGCACCAAAGGATTGTAAACCGTATCGAAAAAGTTGCTAGTAGAGTATTTTATGCTGAAGTCATAATTTAACTATGGTTCAACAGTTTCATATTGCTAAATGTCACCTATCGTCTATCGATTTAGCATATAATGTGAAGTTTTATAGTCTAACCGCCGGTATATACGATCTTTCAATACAAACTTTAAATAAAAAATCGCTAAAATATTGACATTATCAAATACCCCTTAAATCTCAGAAATTACAATAATCGTATTAAGAAAAAAATCTTTCAAATAATAATATTGATTTAGGATTTTAAATTGAAATGGAAAAAAAATTTCAAACATTCATGTCCTAAAATAAATCAAAACTCAACAGAATAGGGCCAAGAATATCCATTAATCAAAGCATAACCGCTATTATTTCACACTACCTCATTTTCCTCCTCTTTTAAATGTGTTCTCTTGCTCTTTGTTTTTCCATTTGTTCTTCCATCTCTCTCTCTCAACTTTGTATCTCACAACTCTCCAATTTTCCCTTCCTCTTTCTTCCCACCGCCTGGAATCGAGAGAAATCTAGAAACATCCCAATTACTCCTCCAATTTTGCGTTCGAAATGCTTCTTCTCCATTCACAGTCGATAGTGTGAATCAGAGCTCCTGAAACCAGGCGAATAGATGGTTGTATATTCATCGACAGAGCAAAGTAGCTTGATAGCTTGTGAATAAACTAATTATTAAAAGTGATAAAAAGCATAACTCGTTAAACCAATCGAGTGAGTGTATAGTTAGTTCATCGCTTAAAGCTTTAAACCATTGTATTTATCTAAAGAATACAAATGCATAATCAGGTTCATCTTCACTTTACATGTATTTGTCGTACAAATTCATTACACATAAAAATGGTTTTGAACCGACGCCATATCAAACTAAATCTCATCTTATGATTATTGGATCCACGTCAGATTTGCAAAAGGTATAAGGTTATTGGTCAACCGGGCTGAAAATTAATACTAATTTAAGAATTATATATCGCTTTCAAAATGTTCAATACTCCAATTCAATATGCAATATTCAAACAAATTATATATGAGTTTGAACCATTCCTCAAATTTTTCAGACAAAAAAATTCTCCTCCCCCCACACACACATTTGCAAAGAAATACTAGATTCCTATTTCTTCTTTAATTTACTTGCTTCTAAAGTTATTGTTGGCGTTGTTTGTTATTACTGCAAGCTATAAAAAAAAATTTTCAGCTATGAAGTTAATCAATAACGATTTTATAAATGAATTTTTAGTTGTATACAATATTGAACAATGTTTGAGTCTCAAAATAAACAATGATATTTATAAACCTTTTAGAATATGAGCCGTCACACGTTGATGTGAGAAACTACTCATTAATTCAAATTTTATATGTTATTTTTAGAATATTTTATTTTATTTTTATCAAATTACGCTTTCTCCATAAAACATGAGTTCACCAATATAGGCTATGTGGTGCTCGCACATGTGCGCGAGCCCTTGAAGTTTAAGTCTGGTACGATCCATGAAGCATTCATGCTTATACTTGGCCGATCCATATACATTGTCTTCATGGTATGCTCTAACTGTGTCGTGCTTGCTCGATCATGTGCCTAGGTATAGTTATATGAATTATAATAATTAAGTTTCTACCTATTGTCGGGTTCATTCATGCCCGATTAGCAAGAGTTTAACGTTTAGCAGTTAACCAGATTAAAATTTTAGCGAACCAGTCACCTATAGTTTGTACAAAAATATTATTCTTTCGTATTAGTTCTGAAAATTTATATTAATTTACAGAATTTTACATTGCTTTTGCATATTCAATATTGCAGTTCGATATGCAATATTTTAAGCAATGAAATTTGTGTTGCAATTTTAAGATTATCCGTCATTTTATAGGTTATAAAAATTATAAATCATGTATTAAAATTTTCTTTTTAGAAGATTTAATAAGCTAGTTAACTGTGAAAAGTCCTCTGCTTTTCAAATGTTCGTTTAGTGCATGTTTATAATTTATCAAGATAAAACAAATTTATTTAGTGTAATTGGTTGTGATTATTGTTTTTGTTTTAAGAGATCATGATTTAAATCTTGATATTGATACTTTTTCATATGAAGTAGATAATAATTGTGATGACAAAAATACTCTTCATACTTTCGCTCACGCTTCATGAAATTTGAAATAGAAAATCTTAAAACATTGAATATATCTCATAGAAAGAGCTTCTTCAACCAAGTAGGAAAGGTATTTTACCTGAATTTATTATTTCTTAAAGAAAGTGATTAATTGTGAAATCGGAACTCAAGTTACATTGATTCAAACATTAAAAAATAAATTTTATGTGTGGTTTAGTTTAGACAAAATACATATGTGTAGCCAAAATATGGATCTATGTGTGGTTCAGTTTAGACTCTCATTTTTCAATTTTATCATTATATTATGTGTAGATTTGTCACAAAAAAATGATTATACTCGTCACAAATGTCCATGTTTTGGTTACACTTCTGTATTTTTTATGAACTAAACAACACATACAATTTAATATTAATGTTTGAATCAATAGCATTGATTCAATACTACTTAGGTTCCGATTTCAGAATTAATATCTTTCTATAAAATATAAATAACTTCAAGACAAAATATAAATATAGATGCATCATCGCCAAACATATTGCTAGAGTACAATCAAAAAAATAACAATGAATAAAATGTAGCCTAGTTGGTTATAATGCTCTTTCTTCATTCGAGTGACCAAGGTTTGAACTCTAATGATAACATTTTTAATATATATACATGAGTTGAGTGTAATGACAAAAATGACCTTCCTAGAATCACTCTCAGGCCACGAAATTTTAAATGGGAGAATTCTAACTCATGTGTTTGTCTTTATGTATTGTGTAGATGTTTTGATTCATGTGGCATGTTAAAAAATTTAATTTCTTGCCATGTCATCAGAATTTTTCCATTTCATTAAGAACTTTGTCATATCAGAATCAACTAACGGTTGACCGAACGGAAAGTTAATGGTTAGGTTATTAAATTGTTTCCGAAAAAGCTTGGCAATTATATTGTTAAAATGAAAGGTTTGGCTATTATATTGTATATACCCTTTCTTTTTTTTAATGAGAAATCATGAAACTTAAATTAACTCAAATGATTCTCAATTTGCATATGTATTCTATATGATATGAACTAAGCCATTGCCCACTTCCAAGAACCAAACCAATGGTGTGAAATATTCTTATTTCAAAACAACAAACATCTGTAATCCATAAACATCCTCCTAAAAAAGAACCACCACCAGTCCACCAGGTTGGCAAAGAAAAACTAGCAAAAAGACTGTGTATAGGGGGAAATGTTACACATCTCAAAATGGTATCTACAAGCTGCCAAACCAAACTAAACCCCCACTTCTCCTTCTCTTCATTCATCTATACCACCAGCAATGTAACAAACCCCAGCACGAGAAGCACAAGAACAACAGAAGGCCCAAGAATTCCAGCAGAAGAAGTAGCAATCTGGATCATGAAATTGCAGTTCCCCTGAGATATATTCTGTGTAGTAACACTAGCCAATCCTTCGAAATTACACGCCAAGTCATCCTGATTCTGCACCTGGTAGTACATGTTGAAAGCATAGGACGCATTCCCGTTTGCATCCAGCCCGTTGCAGGATGACCCATACCCGAGCGTCGTGCAATCAGAGAAAGTGCACGCGTAGTTGATATTGTCGGCCAGCTTGCTCAGATCCTTAGCATTCGGATTGAATGCACACCACTTCTGGGGCAAGTAGTCCACACCTCGTGCACCCACCAGAAGTTTGTTTTGCCCTTGGCCCGAGAGATCCAATGCGAACTTGGGCTGCCCATCGTACCTGACGATGCCCCAATGTCGCTCGAAGCTGCCTGGGGCAATACTCTTGGCGTCCTCGTCTAGAAGGCCGAACAGGTAGACCTCGATGTAGCCAGGTCGAAGTGGCGTACCTTAACATAGTTAGTAAAATACAACTTAGAGGTGATAAGTTTGACACTGGTGATATGTGTTTCATACGCGTTTAGCAAGTGAACAGACAGACAAACAAATGCATCAAATACAATATGCAGAAGAAAGCAAACGCGTTTTATATATGTTACCTCTGTTCGATGCGAGCCTGGGCATTAGCCCGTTGTAGAACCGGTAAGCATTGCCAACATTGCCGTTCTTGTCACCGTCGGTCGGCCATCCCACTTCCCCGACCATGATCGTCATGTCACCGAGTCCCACGGCTTTGAGGGCTGACACCAAGGTGTCGAAATTGGCGTCGAACACGTTGGTATACTGAATCCCGGTGCCCTTGTCGACCACAGGCTGAGCTGCTCCGTCGAAGAAGGCATAATCGAAAGGGAAGTTGTCGTTGCCGTAGAGACTGAGGAAGGGGTAGATGTTCACCGTGAAAGGTGCCTTGTTCTTGTTCATAAACTGGACGATTTGGGTCATTAGGTCGTTGATGTCGGGCCGGAACCTTCCAGCGGATGGGTATGGCTGGTCGTCTGGGGAGAAGTATACGTCTGCGTTTAGGGGAACGGTGGCCTTTATGGTGTCTCCGACGTCAGCTTCGTTGAGGGCGTTTTGGATGTTTTGGAGTGCTGGGAATGTGATGTTTATGAATGAGTTGTTGTATGTCTTTAGGAATGGTTCGTTCCCTACTGCCACATACCTGTTGCAGAAAATTGAAAGTAATGTAAAGAGCAATTACTAATGCAAAAATCTGATCCTGAAACTACACTAATAAATTTGAAGAACTGATCACCAATATGTGGCTAGAATGTGAACTGCAATATCAGGTTAACTGAGTATATTAAAAAAGTTCATTTCAGATTAATAAAAGGCGGAAATCAAGTTTAACTTTGGAATTCCGAATCAAGATGCAAAGTGGAGCAATTTTTGTTTCTTCTCTATTGCCAAAATTGACACTCCCCCATAAACTACTCAATAGTTTCACTTTCACAATACTTGAAGAACAAAGTGAAGGTTTTCATAAAGCAGACACCATTTTGACAGATTCAAAATACCCAAGTTTAGCATCTCTAACAACACTCCTACTCTCTTGCCACAAATCATCAACCAATCAGCATGAACAACAAACTGTTTTCAGAGTTCCAAACAGAAAATAATGGAAATTTTCAAGAAGGGGGAAGAAGAATTGGGCTTTTGACTCACTTGATATTAACACCACCGTTGAAGTTGAACCGAGAAATGTTTCTCTTAACCCATTCTTGAGCGTTGCCATAGTCAGTCATAGCCTGAAGTTGATCATTAGGGATAGCCACCATAACCTCGATGTTGCTCCCAGCAAGAGCATTCATGGTGGTGGAATCTGCATCGAATAGCTTCACTTTCTGAAACCCATTGTCCTTCAACATCTGCACAACTGTCTTGGGCGGTAGCATGTGGGTAGCCATGGTCCCCCAATTCACCCCTAAGCAATTCACAATGGAACAAGAAGAACACCATAGCAGCAACACCCCCAGAAGCAGAAACCATAATCTGCTCCCCATGGTTTGGTCTCAGCTGAAGCTTATGAAAGAAGAAACAGGGGCTTGTTAGATTGAAAGTGAAAAAAGGTTCCAACTTTCCTTTTTTTCTCTTTTGAACAGAGAGAAGGGGAGCGGTTTACTTTTGGGGGTACCCGTGAAAATAGCGAGATATCAGCGATTAACGACCACTTGAAGGGAAATGGAGATCGTGATGGAAAGAGACTCAGGGGGAACTAGATTCCCTTCCAATTCCAATAAATAGACGAAATCCCACTAAGGGGAAAAGGAGATAGAAGCCGACTTTACAACAAGGAATTGATTCACTCTTAAAACGCAATCGCAAAAGAAAAGCAATAAACCTCCTTTCTAGGTCTCTGGAGATTCGAGAGGAGAGCTTAGAAAATGAAAGCAACAAGCCTTTTCAATTAAAGAAGAGAGAGTACCGTTGCTTTTCTTTTTCTGAAGTTTGGATTGAAAGAGCGAGCGGTTATGAGAGCAAAAACAGAGAAATTTGAAGACACGAAACTGAAACAGATGTATATTTAACGGAGAAAGAACAGAGGTAGGTATGAGAGATATCTTCCTGGCTTTTACTCAATGCTCTGTATTTTTGGAACCCAAATGACTGGGCGTTAATAGCGGCGATGAGTCCTAGAAGAACCAATCCTGTGACTCCCGGAGATGGGTTTTCGATGATTTGAGAAACCCGGAGAAGGAAAACAAAAACCTTCCCCGGAAGATATGAACGGAATAGCTGATGGGGGAGGGAGAAGACGGCAAACCGAGAGTACACTTTCGGGTTTCAAAAGAGCCAGCTACTAATAAATAAATTAAATACAAAAGAATGGAGGAGGAAAACGACAATCAATTGTTCAAACGGCCGAAAATCCTTTGAGGATGGGGAGGGAGAAGGGAGAAAGATTGAGTCTAGGTGTGATTGGCTCGATGAGCTGAGAAAATGGAGAGAGAAAGACAAGAGAATGAGAGAAAGGGTAAGATAGAGTGGAAACAGAGGAGACTGGGAGTTTCTACCAAAAAAATGGAGGAGACTGGAGAGGGTATTTTGGTCAGAATGTGAAGGGGAATTTCGTTTTATTTTTTTCTTTTTAAATTATTAACGGCTAAAAAAACTTTAATATCAGTCAAAAAATCCACTGTTTTTTACAGTAAACACAACAACCTTTCTCTGTCTTTTTGTTTGTTTTACAAGAGATGTAATTGAAAAAACAATGTGATTCAATCAGGAAGTGCCGTACGTCTAAATTAAGGTTTATATCTAGGCAGACAAAGTAGAGGTGGTGTAAGAATGTCTCAATTCTATTTTCTTTGATGCAATGCTTAGTCAGTTAAGGGGGAAATGTTGGATTACCTTTAACACGTGAATATTACTTACAAATCGTTTGGTATGTTTGAATTTCATAAGTTTTGAGTAATTCATTTTGAAATGAAATATTTTTATATTTAGTATTAAAAAGAATTCATTTTCAATTCTAAATTTTGAATTCTTCGGAATTGGAACTAGTTATAGCAATTTCGAGGAATTGAGATAGAATTTCCAAATGAATTCCACTGGTATTTACTAATTATAATAAAATGACATGATTATCCTCTTTTATTAACTAAATTACTTATACATATGACATACCAACGCATAAATTAATTTGACAATGAATTCTACACGACACTTCAATGATTTGAATATAACATACCAAACATATGATTTCATTTGACAATAAATTCTACACGGTAATTCATTTTACAATGAAATGAATTCTCGATTCATTTGGTACCAAACGGTCTGTTAGGGTCGTTTGGATGAGAAATTCTAAACGATTAATTTGATCTAATTGTTTCATTTTGAGATAATCTTGTCATATTAATCCGTTTGGCAGTACAAATTTAGATGAAGCAATTCGCCTGAGAAATTTCAAATTGACTCATTGAGAAACAATTTACATGTACAATAGTCTAGGGTGGGGCAGACATTCAAATTGACTCGTTTTAATTACTCGTTTTGTAAAATGAGAAAATTGATCAAATTGTCTCATTTTTCAATTGATCCATCTAAACAATCACTTGCCCTATTTAATTTATGTTTCATGGACATTATTCTATATGTTTTTTATATTTTTTTTTTTTTTTTTTTTGCATAACAAGGAGGCCGAGGCCAAGAAGAAGAAAGACTACAGAGGCAGATTAGCTAGAAAGAGATGAGCTCGCCACAACCCGGCGCTCAAAAGTAATACCCATAACATCATCCTGCAGAAGAGGCACAACGCCAGGTGGCGGATTAGCCAGCTCATGCATCCCGTAGGGATAGACGAGACTGTGCTTCGAGAGCCAGTCCGCGACTCTATTCCCTTCCCGGTATGTATGAGCCAGGCTGACCAACCAATCCTGGCCGATTTTCCTACGAATGAGACACAAGAGGGTAGCATATGGATGAATGGGATCATGTCGCTCCTGAATCAACTGGATTGCAAGCTGAGAATCGGAGACTAGCTTCACTACCCGATAGCCCAGCTTCCAAGCCAAGTCCAAGCCATAAAAGATAGCCCAAAGCTCCGCTAGAGCTGCTGTTGCCGAGCCGATATTGGCTACAAAACCTCCCAACCAATTCCCTGACGGGCCTCGCACGACGCCGCCTGCGCCTGCAGGACCTGGATTACCATTCGAAGCCCCATCCGTGTTCACCATAACCCAACCAGCTGTGGGTGGCATCCAACCAATATCTGCAACTACTCTCTCGACTCGCTGCCGCCTAAGATTGATGGGTAGCTCAGGAGCATTCCAAGAATCTGTCCAAATTTTACATTTGGTAATAATTGAATGCCTTAGAGAGGGAGCAGACAACGCGGCACTTACTCCTTTGAACGAGGCGGTTGTACGGTTCTTCCAGAGGAGCCAACTCGCAATCCCGAAGAAGCCAGGCCAGCTTATGCCATCACTTGTGACGTCTTTGCTCAAAATGTTGCAACGAAACCAGTCCTCATGAGTTGCACTGAAGAACTCATGTTGCTTCTGCTGCGGAACATGCCTGGACCAGAAATACAAAGCTGGGGCGCAATCCCGTAAGATGTGAAGAGCAGTCTCGGGGTGGGCTGTGCATCTCAAACAGCAGGGAGACTCAGTCGCCTTTTGCTGGAAACGGAGGACGTTTGAGGCTATTTTTTCTTGAAAAGCCAGCCAAATGAAGGACGGGTAAACGGTTAATTTATTATAATTGATAATCAAATTCATAATTGCGGTTAGTGGTTAATATATAATTGATAATTTTTTAGTAGTTCAGTTATTGATAAGTTGATTTTGCTTAGTGGTTAACTATTAACCGATTAATCAATTAGCTATTGATCGTTAAAAAAACTAATAACCGTCTAGCTATTAGTATAACCACATTATTTTAGGTTCTTATTATAAAAAGTATCAAAATGCAAGAACAACCAAATTCACAATTCCAAAAGGCTCAATCCTCCTTTATTACAAACAACTTTCAGTAAGATGTCATAAACTATCCATGTGCGTCGGTCAAACATTGGACTTTTGTCATCTCATCAAAAACTATCCACCTCACAAATATTTAGTCACGTCAGAATCAACTTACGTTTGACCATATGGAAAGTTAACGATTTGGCTACTATATTGTTTATTAAAACTGTTTGGCTATTATTTTGTTTAAAAATTAAATATTTTCCTATTATATTGTATTTGCCCTTTATATAATAGTACAAGTTTAGTTTTGTCCATAACTGAAAGGTCCAAATTCAGTTTCTACGATAAAAAGAATTTCATAGAAAGTAATTGTACTATAATGTTAATGTGCAAGCTCAATTTGTACCATCAACTTTATAATAAAAAAAATCAATGCACCAATGCTAAAAGGTATCGTAAAATACATCGTTTCTTAGATGCTAAAGTGTTTGTTTAGTTAAATTAAAACTCCCTTTGATTTGGTTAAATGGTGCATCAAGGTTTAGTACTAGTACTCCTAAGTGCATGAGGAATACGACCTTATTTAGCAATATATATCTAGCTCAATTGCACTTGCACACTTGCCCTTCGTAACCAAGTAGTTAGGTGTAGGAGTGGAAGCTTGGTTTGCGGTTTGTGGATAATTCCCAAACTGCACCATATTGCATACTTTATTTTTTATACTTTTAGTGATGTCGATCGTTAATTTTCTTGAAGTAGCGATGATGGATGGAAAGAATGGAATGGATGGCTGAGTTTTAGGGAAGTAATAGGACCGCACAACTACGCTCGCTCGTTCAGCAGATGTGGCGGAGCAGTCGGTTGCCGACATTAAAGCCCCCATTTTACATCATCTTCGCCTCCTTTCCCACTCACCACAACGCGTGGATATGTACTCCAAGTCTAACTTCTCTTTACCTTTTCTCTCGTTTCCTAATTTTCATCGAATACGGAGCACCTCTTCCCTATTTCTCGATTGTATACAGTATTTTGTTTCCTCGCAAATACGGAGCACCTCTTCCTCCTTTTAATGGAACAAATCAAGGTTGTATTATTGGACATTCCTGTATTCATGCAACGTAGAGTTTTATTTAAACGCGACATCATAAGAATTTATATACTTTCAGAATGGAGTGTCATATTGACGAAGCGAGTTCAATCTCCGCATCTTATCTTGCGCCACTATTATAAACATCTATTAACTTATGACCAAATAGACACAAAATTATCTCAACCGCTACTACCACGACTTGACCAAGTATTTTTTTTCTTAATTTAAATAGATTTGCATAGTAACTATTGTTTAAAAGGCGTCGATAGTTATTGAGTGGGTAATGATCTAGTTCAATCTAATTCGGAAAAATTTCGAGTAATGTCATATACGAGTTTGGCCAAAAATCAGGTCTGATATATATTCACAAAGACTAAAACAACATTGTTTTGGGTCCTTACCCTAATGACAAAAGTCGAGTTTTTAATTAGCTTGAACTCGACTCGTTTATAAAATTTTCAGCTCGAGCTCGTGCTCGGCTTGAATAAAAATAATCTAGCTC